GCAGGGAAAATCGTCATCCTTAATTTGTGCGTAGAGAGAGGGCGGGAGAAGATGAGTTGTAAGGAAGTGATTTCTTTGGGACTTGGCTGAACTTTTAAGCCCTGTTTGGTTTGAGCAGATGTAGAATTAGTACACATCACTTTGCATCAGCGAGACATTGAACACAAGCTGCTGCTCAGGGGCCAAATACCTCTGTGTCTCACATACACACCTTACCTCTAGTTTCTGTGATCTGCTGTGGTCATAATCAATATGATGTCAATTCCCAGAGCAGAACATTCTTATTACTATTCTTCCTAAAGCATGTTTCATGTCTCCAAATACCAATGGCGAGTTACAAACCGCTGAAACTAATATAAAACGCAAGCAGTTTTCAATTCATGAAAAACAATAGGGAAAACAAATGTTTACTCCGCCCACCTTGAGCTAACATAATGCATTTAACTTTTTTAAATTGTGTTCAGGAAATTATTTCAGATTTCACAGTAAACATTTCTTGCCATGTTCAAAACAGATTGAGATGTCAAAATACAGTCATCCTCTGTTTAGAAGAAACAATACAATAGGATTATGGGTGTTGCAAACAAAACAAACAATAAACACAATTAATGTTATTCCCAATTATGTTGACATTTGGCCTTGTATAACGGTCTGCAGAAATGGACTTCAGAAGTGGATTTGCAAATAGCACGCACTGAGATGAACTTGCCACAAACCTGCTGTCATTACACAGGGGGAATATTCCTTTTTACATTTTTGGAGCAGGGGATCCTGTTGCATGTCAATGAACTGGACTAAACATGCATGAAGTGATGGTGTGTGTATGGAGGGGAGGCAAAGGGGGAGTCAACCCCATGGTGGTGTCAGCGAAGGATCTGTGTGTAATCTGCAGAAGATGCATGCAATAGACCGCCACAGTATTTTATCAACAAGGCCCCTAATTGCGATGGATGCTGAAGAACACATGTTAGGAAGAGAGGAAGGGAAAGGGTGTCAGATGTCAGCAATGTGCAGGCATATGGTTCCTACAACAAGTTAGGTTACGCAAACTGGATATGACACAACAAATCAGGTTTGCTATGATGAACTAGTGAGGACTGCATCAAACTGCCTTATACTGTATCTTTTCCTAAATAAAGTCAGTCCCCTCTGTGTAAGAGATTCTGAAAGTTTCAGGAAAAAAGATTCGCTCACTTTTTTTCCTGATCCATTTATATAAAAAACCTGTCTGAAAATGAGCTGATCAGATTTTGTCCACTTTATAATGTCATAACGATTTTTTGGCTTGTGTAACCATTAGCCAATAACCAACCAAGGCAGTGGCGAGCCGTCGGGGCCCTCTAGGCCCTCTCTGAGGGCCTAAGATATTCTACAAAATAATATTTAAAAACATTAAAACATTTCAAATCATAAATCTATCGATTAGATTTATGATTAGAACATTATAAAAGTAGGGTAGACATGTGGATATTATCCGGCTGAACAAAACGTGATCTTTCTCTTCAATTTGTGTCAACCACAGACCTTATTTCTAGCTATTTTCCAAAATCCTATGGAGAAATTGCATTGGTTTTTGTCGAAGGAACCGGAAGGAGTTTACTTCCGGGTTTTAGGACGCGTCACTGTGGCACTCTATTCCGCTGAAGTATACGCTGTGACGTAATAACTTTTTTTTTTCCCTTTTTTTTTTTTCGAGGGAAGGGGTCAGAGGGCCTAGGTATAAAAGTCATGGCTCGCCACTGAAACAAGGTAAATATCTCCTCCTAGAGTACCATTGTGCGTGGGGAGGGGTTCCTTATTTTCATCTAAAGTAACAGACAGAGAATCAGCACTTTTGAAACAGGGCGGAAACAGAGGGGTTTATGGGATGCTACAATGCATGATCTGTTTAGTATTTGGAACCAAACACTTCAGAGACATGTTTTGTATATATATCTGAGACTCTGAAACTATAATATATTGATGATAAACAATATAATAGGGAACCATTAAAGCTAACATAATTGTGACCATTACATTAATATAATGACATTAAGGATAGGTGCCATCACCATAGCAGAGGATAACATTGGAAATCAAACAGTATGACATTTAGCCCAAAAACAATACCGTTCTGTCAAACCCTGGATGAAGCAAAAATGGTGAATCCAAAATATGAACCATAAAAGATAGAGAACTGTTTGGCCATCTTTGTAGGTTGAGAAGGAGGCTTTAACAAAGCAAGAACACGATGTGAGGTAACAGGAGTGATCCAGCATATTATTCCCGCTTTAAAGGACTCATAACCTTCAACTCAGCCATTGTATGGGGCCATCTCATCAGGAATGCACCACTCATGCACATACACAAACACCCACACAACCCTTCCCCTTTCAATTCAAATCCCCCCACAGTTCTCCCCCTATTCCTTCATTATGCACTTGTCCTTCTCTTGTGCTCACAGCAAATATGTGCTACTTTGTTCACATTTTTCACCATGTACCCTCAACATAATCCGCTGTCTGCCTTGGACATTTGTGCCAACCAACTTAAGTAAACAGAAAGATGGAAACGACATAAGAAGTGGTTGACCTTGTACATGAAAGCTACCACTATCACTTAGGAGATGGTGTGGTTATTGTTAGGACAAATGGGGCCCATCTGTTTGTTTGTTGTTTGTGCTTGTAAAGGCACCACTTCCCAAAATGAAAGAATCTGCTTGTTCTGTACCTGGCACGGTTTTTGATAGTTTTTTTCTGGACACATTTTATGAATGCTATTTGATTGAAATTGATGGGTAGAGCAAACATGATCATTTAGTCTTGGTCTAGATGTTTTTTGTTCATATTGTAAATAAATTGTATGAAAATGTTGATGTTTCACTGAAACTGTCCACTAGCCCTTCACTCTATCATCTCTCCCTTCAAGTTCATCAAAAATAGCCCAGTACAAAAACGAATATTTATTAATATTTACGAGTATATTTGTGTGAGTTGGGCGCAACATGATGATAGGTTACAGTGAATTGAGAGTGCATGCTTGCCTGTGTGTGCCCTGCCGGAAGACATTACGCATACAGTAGATCAGGTTTGTAGTGTATGAGCATTCGGCCGCCAACCCATTCCCAGCACTCAATCACACGAAGCCCCTCGCATTTGCATGTTGTAGCATTGAGTCGGGAGCAGATTGGAGGTGTAGCAAATGGGCTGAATAATTTCACCTGACAATCAATTATTGTTGAAATTGAGTTACATCAAAAACATGATTTCTACTGCCGAGTTTGATTTGTCAGGTTTCATTGGGGGTTCATTCAGTCAGTCTAAATGTGACGTAGGGACTGATTTAACTACGCACTGAGAGAATGAACGAGACAGTAATAGTGTTGAGGACCATGCAAATCACCTGCAAAAGAAACCTTGTAAATCCCAGGCTGGGAAGTGCACAAAGCCGCAACAAGGAGCAATAACACATAGCACACATACTATTCAAATGTAAATATCATTATTGTGCAAGTCATAAACCATAACCCAGTTGACTATTTTAAAGATTAAGTTTGATGTTGCACCATTATATATGTAATTGTTCTGTTTCATTGCCAATAAATGCAACAATGTATTCACACTATCTGCCGTGGTCTTTTCTATTATTGTCACTGACAAATGGTATTGTTATTTCTATAAACCTCTGCATAGTTATTTTCTCATTTAATTCAGTCTATGATTTCTCTGTTTTTATCACTTTAATAAAGTAAATAAATCCTGGTTAAAATATAAAAAAATGCAGTCAATGCGGCATCAACTAGGGCAACAGAGCAAGTGACACTAAAACCGGCTTTAAATTACAGAATGAAATCAGGGGTCGACCTCTCCCTCTTTCTTTCCCTGCTTTGAAACTGGTGTCTCCAATCTTTTTCCACGACCAAATGACTCTTAACTCTGCTGAGTGTAGCATGGGTCAGGCAGCTAGATTGAAGCCAGGGTGTCTGGTTAGTGTTCAGGTTTAACAGGAGATTTCTGATGTCTGATTTCACTCAACAGGCCAGCCGCTACTCTCTGAGTGCCTTGCAGTAATGCTTTGCAGATATGCCAGTGGAACAATGGGGGAATATGTGCTCAGCTAAACTCGGTTCAACTTTATTATAATTTTAAAGGCTGTTTTCTAAAATATTGACAACATATTCAAGTCATTGAAGGTTGACTTTATTTAAAAACACCTTTTTTTTTAAAGAAATAGAACCGACAGCTATACTACACAAACTAAAGCCTCCAAAATAACCATTACAATACTTACACCTTTCAAAGTGTTTCAATACAAATCCAATGTTAGAAATATATTAAGACTAAATGTAAAATGTTGTCCTATTAGACTACATTAGTGTAAGCTAGGTGTAACAAATACACTGCAAAGCAGTGCACATAACAGGTTTAAGCAGAGAAAAATATATAATTTTTGCAAGTGGATTTCATAAAGACCTGAATAAAAAAAACATGCCTTTATGAAAACATACTACCTCAAAAAATATGAGAGGAGTGTGTCCTTGGAACTCATGTCATTGAGTGGGATTCAAGCAGTAGATGTGTGGCTGAATTAGGTGCAGTTTAGCCACCCACATATTGTGCACACACAGGCCACACATGAACTGTCAACACTTGAACTGTCAATTGAATGAATCTGTGAAAAGGCTTGGCTGCATGCGAGGTACTAAACTCTACAGTGAAAAGGAAAAACCTTCACAGCCCAAACTACAGCTTCCAAACTGAGATTTTAAAAAGCGAGGCACCAGAGCGAGCATTATGAAGAAAAAGGTAGATAACCATCAACATAATTAAATTAGCCTGTCATTCTTATATATTCAGATTTAATCTTGAATTCACATTTATTTGGAAAAGCACATGATGGTTGGTCTTTTTTGTTCTTTTGATGTGCTGGAGGCTTTTTGAGAAGCAAGGACAGCCGAAAAAAAAAAATTAGCAATCACTCTTGTGAATTGCTAATATGTTCAGTTTCCAGAGATATCTGGTTCAAAATTCCTAAACAACGGGAAACGGTAAGGTAAATTGGAGATAGTAGTAAAAAAACGTAGAAAAACAAAATTCCCAACAGTAATTGCAATTAAAAGTAAGAAAGACACTTATATAGCGAGCAAGACAGATTGCAGCAAATACTAGGGTTCTGTATAATGCTGGATCATTTGGTTTTTCCTTATTCATTTATCTTCTTTAAAATGACAAAGACAATTCTGGACCATTTAAAGATACTTTTTTAAGCAATGTATTGACAGGAAAAGCACAGATTTGCATTATGATGGTATGACAACTCACCTCTGGTCCCTGTCCTTCCTCCTTCCCCGGGCTGGGGGTGTTGCTGCTAGTGTGGGTAGGGGTGGCCTCCTCCTCTTGGCTTAGGGTTGTTCCTAGCGGGAAACTGACAGGACGAGAGCTGGTAACTGAGCTGGATGGTCGGGAACTGGCGCAGTTCTGTAAGAAATGAGACGGCAATATCAGCTACATGGGATCACAGGAAAACACAGTCAATGGGCAACTTTCACGATAGCTGATAAGGACAAAGATATCAAGTCCATCCATTCTTTATTTGTCAATTATTGGTGATGCTAATTAGTAAGACATTTTTTCTCTCATCACAAACAGCAGCCTCATTTTCACTGGCTGTCTTTGTTGTACTACGATAGGGATTTATCAGTGAAACACTTTCAAATTGCATTTTGTTTTTATAAATCCACATGATTTAAAGATACCTCGGAGTATAAAAATGTGCGTTTTCATATGTTCTTTAATGCCATCAACCTGGCAGACACTGCTGATGAAAAATGATTTAAGATTGAAGTGCTCATGTTAAATAATGTGCATTGTCCCTTTGTAATAAAAAATCCGTAATATAAGATTGCGCATTAAAGAACTTATAAGTTAGAGGGATGATTTGAACATTTTAACTTTTTTCTCAAAGTTCTTCACCATAGAATACATCTCATCAAGCAGGTCACACTTAATAATGAACATAAATAGACATCATGGGCTATTGTAGATTACAGTATTGTCCTTCCCATAATTCCAGGATAAAACCTGAGCAGCTGCTCTATGAATTTAACTCAGAGGCCTCCTTGTTTCACATAAGCACACGCATCATCCAGCCAGACCAAAATAAACGGCAATCACAGAAAACCCATTTGTTTGCACAGCTCTCAAACAAACTGAGGGGCTTCAACAGGCTCCAGGGCTTCTTATATTTCATACTGTACATCTATCGGGCAGGAATGCCTCCACACTGAGGGCCTGGCTGCTTTTGTGTTGTGGAGGTCTAGCTTTGGTGAATGTCATACACACATGAGTGGAAAGAGATAAATACATGCACTGCTATCACTTTTTTAGAGCCTCAATACTGATTCCAAACAACTCCCTGCGTACTATATGTTGTCAAAACTTGAATTAAGATAAAAAAAACGAATCCACTTCCAATTTATATCTATATTTCAGTGGTGTCAGGGGCACAGAGTATTGGGGGGGGGGTTTATTTGGGTCCTGCAACTGACAGCTTTATTTCACAAAGCAATCTGGCTGTTTGTGTACAAGAGGGAGGTCAGGATGGGTCAGGAGATACTTGGTATCAAACAGGCATTCAACGCTGGTCAACGTTTTTGTGTGTGTGTGTGTGTGTGTGTGTGTGTGGTGTGTGTGGTGTGTGTGTGTGTGTGTGTGTGTGTGTGTGTGGTGTGTGTGTGGTGTGTGTGTGTGTGTGTGTGTGTGTGGACAACCAGCTTGACAGAAGTACGGGATATAGAGCGGAGAATGTGTGGATTAGGTTTGGTGGAATTTATAAGAGAGGTCATCAAGGTCCAGAGGGGAGTCACATCACTGTACCAAAAGCAATATATAGTTCCTATATTATTCAAATTATTTCATGTTTTGTGCTAGTCAGATACAACACATTTAATCTGATTTCATGTGCACTGTTTATGATACAGTTAATGGCTCTTATTGTGTCGGCCTGGTGCTTGACCTTCCTTAAAAGAAATCACACAGGATCATCATACACATGATAAAATATGTAACACATATGACAGGCTTAGTATAGACTGTTTATAATGTTGGTGATGATGTTTAAAATAGGACAATACAATTTTAAAATGATTTAATTTTGATAAAATACTTCTAAATTGCAGTTGCAGTGAATTACCCCTTTGGGTTAACCCCTTCAAACGTTGCAAATAATGCAAGATTAAAAAAAAAACACTATTTCCGACAAGTGCCATTCGTCTTCAAATGACCCCATATGCAGTAAACACCGCCAAAGCCTCTTTATCCCTCAGCCAGCAAGGCACGATACCCAATCCTATGTTTTTACAACAAGGGGATATATAGGAGCATGTGCGGTCAACTAGAGCCAAATGTCTCCTATCTAACCAAAGGACAGGTAGATACAGTATTTCAAGCAGGATTTATGGCACAAAATAGCATTAGCTAGAAACCGTCAGGCGGCGGTGATGGCTAAAAAACGCATTCTGGTAGCGGAACCCCGGCAAGATTGGAAAATTGCCACCCACCAGAGGGGAGAGGGAAGCAGTAAAAATGACGGTATATGGGGGGGCCTCACTGATAACATGAGCTGACAATATATCAGACTGCACCTGGTGGGAAGGGGTCTCAAGGGGCCCCCCCTAAATGACCCGCCCGACACACTCACTTTAATTTATCTTTTTATTTATTTAATTTCTTCTCTTCCTTACAGTGTCCAGCCCTGAGGTGGGGTGGGGGGGGTCAGAAGGAAGTAGGTGCGCCCTGATGTTTTAAAAAACCAATCTGCCGTCAGAAATGGTTTCATTCCTACTTCAATGACCTGAAGTGTGTTAGGTTGGGGAATATTAGGGGGTACATATGTGAGGGTCAGGGTGCAGTGGGAGGGGCAGGACGAAGTGATGCCGGCCAAAGAGGAGTGGAGTTAACGTGATCACTCATAAGGGACAAGATGCATTTTATGTGCGTGCGTGTGTGTCAGATGGCGGGGGCAAAGGAGATCTATAATTATGTGTGTGTGTGTGTGTGTGTGTGTGTGTGTGTGTGTGTGTGTGTGTGTGTGTGTGTGTGGTATGTGCCTGTTGGTGTGTACTAGAGACTATTAAGTACTTTTAAAGTGCTTTCCGCAGCCTACAATATGATCTAGCACACACACTCATACACACCCACACACTCCCACACAGAGCATCGCCTCCGCCAAACAGCAGCGTCCAACAAGGTATAAATACTGGCCTGACACTTTAATGTCAGGGGACGGCTTGTCCTGGATTAGAAACTTGTAACCCACCGTGGAGCTTGACATTGCTGGGATGAAGGTGCTGCAATAAGCAGGGTGAGGAAGGGGGAGAGCTATTAAGGAGGGTCTATGTTTGATGTATAAGGGCATCTAACATGGACTGTCTCCTAGTGAGAGGCCAGCAGATGTTCAATGTTGCATATTGGCAGCTTTCATTGGCAAGGAACATTTCACAACAAGTAACAAACTCATACACACTCTTAGACCCAGAAATTAGAAGATTACGTACTGAAAAATTAAGCGCCTTTCTCCTCTCCTTGATCCTGTTGACCGTGCTCCGAACCTGAAAGAAAAGAGAGAGAGAGAGAGAGAGAGAGAGAGAGAGTTAAGTGTGTCTGACACGGCACTCAATGAAACACACTTACAATGAGCGACCAAAGAGTAAAAAGGAGAAAGAGTATGTGTAAATAACACATTTGGAGCATTATTTTAATGTAACCTACAGCTGTTGGGGAAGTGTGTTTGTGTGTGTGTGTGTGTGTGTGTGTGTGTGTGTGTGTGTGTGTGTGTGTGTGTGTGTGTGTGTGTGTGGTGTGTGTGTGTGGTGTGTGTGTGTGTGTGTGTGTTTGTGTTTGTGTTTGTGTGAGTGTGTGTATGCGCACGTGTGTGTGCCTGAGAGAGAGAGAGGTGTTCCAGTATGTTCCAGTGGCTAATGGGACTTGAAAGTGACACATAGAGCAGGCAAACTAAGGAGACGACTTCAAGCTATCATCTGTCAGCATAGAGCGCCGGGACCAACAAATGGAGCTATTGGAGGAGAAGGGACCGCCGTAGCAGAACAGATTACATTTTTACACTTCGGAAGAAACAGTGTACAGCATGCCTTCATTTGACACACAATACCAGACAAGCATTTCATAGATTTTAGAGAACAGTCTTCAGGGTATTACAATTTCAGTAAAACACTTGTGTTTTAACTCACCTCCAACATTAATATGTAAATTAATCATTGTTTACTGAACTCATTCATTTTTTGTTCAATTTTTATTATATACATTTTTAATGTAATACTTATGGAAATGTTAAAATGAAATAAACAATCCATGATTTTTAAATACTGTGACAATTACAAAAAAAGAATGATCATTGCTTGATGAGACCAGTCATTATTTGTATGCCCTTTAACTTTATTTAAATTACATTTATCAAAACATTTTTAAATGTCATCAAAGTAGTTATGATAAATGACTGTCATTGTGACATCATTATTGTGTAATTAATGTCACAGGATGCAAATAATCCAGGGTTTACATTTTTCTAATGTGTTTATTGAATAAAACTATGCATTAATTAGGCAAAAAAAACGAATTTGCAAATAAAGAAAGTGTTACTGGACAGACCTTTTATAAAATCAATAATATTCAATCCAGGATTAAATCTGAAATAGCGCCAATGAAAATAAAGGTTATTTGTATTTTTTCTCACGACAATAGTTATGAATGAATGCATTTTCCTGCTAGAATTTTAGATGCATTAATTACAAATAAAATGTAATAGGTCTGCTGAATATTTTTCTATTAAACCATTTAAAAAATATATATTATTAATTAAAAATTGCAACAACTTCCTATTATTGTTACAGTAAACAAAATATCAAAATACACCAGCAGTACTCAGTGTGTTGGTAGCAGCTCAGTTAAGTAGGATGAAGTATTCTATGAAAAGCCTTTGGCACTTATGAGGTCTGTGTGTGTGTGTGTGTGTGTGGTGTGTGTGTGTGTGTGTGTGTGTGTGTGGTGTGATGTGTGTGTGTGTGTGTGTGTGTGTGTGTGTGTGTGTGTGTGTGTGTGTGTGTGTGTGTGTGTGTGTGTGTGTGTGTGTGTGTGTGTGTGTGTGTGTGTGTGTGTGTGTGTGCGTGCGCACATTGTCAGCGTTCACTGTAAATTTGTAGCGGATGGGCACTCATCACTACAGCCCGTCCCAGCCCAGCCCACCACGTTAGTGAATATGCATTATGGCTTATGGCTTCATTAAGTAGCAGCGTGTTATAAATTATGACACCGCACTGAACACACACACAGTCTCAGAGACAGCATGTGTACACAGAGGATGTTTTGCATACGCACCAACGTTGAAGGGCCACATAATGAAGAGAGCCCAAGCCTTGTGACAGCACAGAATCAACAGCATCATGTTTCCAAAACCCTCCTATTATTTCTGACAAGATCCGCAGAAGGCCTTCAACGCGGTGCAGATGTTGGATAGACACCGTCTTTACACAATTTAATGGGGAAAGTAAGTCCTGGGGATTCCATTGATATCCAAAGCAGCCGGCGTGCTGAGGCAATTACATGACACAACTTAATTAATCACTTGACAATGAGGGGAAGGGCATTGTTTTAGATAATTGTTATGTGTTTAAGCGGTTTTGTGCACACTCAAGGTTTCGCAATGATGCAAAGCGTGGTTCTCCATGTAAATGGGCGCTAAGCGATTACCATATGAAAGCAGCACGCCCAACAACACCTGCCGACATCCTTGGAGCTGATGGAAATAAAAGGTCATCAAAGCATAGAATTACAAGGTGACCACCAAGGAAAAGCTAATTGCAATGAATAATGGAAAGCTATTGTAAGGTAATTAGCAAAGTAAAAGGCTGCATTTTAGGGTAATAGCAGAAAATGCAGTATGACTTCCATATTGGTAATTATTGAACGTGGAAACCAACCTCATGAATGAAGCATTTTTTTACTTAGATGCAGTTGTTAATTTCACACCTTTTTTAACACATCAAAGCGAAATGTATTCACGCTAAGATGGATAAATAATATATGTTCTACCCAGTTAACTACTAACAGCAACTTCGCAAAGTTTTTCTTCACCCCATGGACGTATGTGTGTGATAATGTAATTTAATGATGTGTTGCCATCTACTGCCATCAATGCATGTTAGCTTCACTTCCCTGTCGAATATTTGCCTTTCCCTGACACTCTGATTCCAGGGAAGAAACATTCAAACTTTTGATCATTCCCATTTAGTGTTTAAGGATTTTTTTTATTAGGCAAATATTTCCTTCTGAGTGTCAGAGAGGGTGAAACCTGAAGCCAGCTCTCTCTCACATGTTTGAACAGTTAAGGACCAAAAGGAAACGCAGGTTGAGGGAAAATAAAAGAAGCATCTTAGAAAATATGTTAAGAGGAAAAAAAGAAAAATGTTTGGATGTGAATAATTTCAAAATTACGGATCTTTTTTCAACATTAACAAAGAAATGTGAACCTTTTGAAAACTGGAACATGTACATGAGCAGCACCCAGGGTCAAGGGCAACCGGAGTGTAAGAAATGAATTCCCAAGCAATAAAAACGCTACTTAAGCAAGATTGAGGGTGTAGATTTATTCTAAAGCACCACGGGTCATTCTTCCCTGTCTCTGCATTGTGGGCGCATCCTATGAAACAGGGACATCTCTTCAAACTATGGAGAACATATGGGTGAAGAAAAGAAGGAGAAAATGGGAAATAACAGGAAGCGAACTTGTTATATGTGAGTTGTCCTGTTTGATGGTCAGAAATGTGATGATGAAAGAAAAGAAAATAGACGGAAAAAAGGAGGGACTAATGTAATACTGACCATTATATTGCAGAGCCTGCATAATAATAACTATGTTACACAGTTATTTAAAAAAAGCTGCCTCTAAAAGGTGATCATGACCTTTTATATTAGATCAAAGCACTGATCTTTTACAGTCAAAAGCAACAAGAGGTTATTTTTGTGTCTATCAAATAATGTATGTTTTGATCAAATGGTAGCTTTATAAAACATTTCTGCTATTATTATATCCTTTGTCAGACATTTCAGGGATTGTTATCATATCAGGTTGAGTTTGGAGTGCGTGAGATAAATAAAAATAAAAATAATTTCCAGACTCCTCTTTTTCTTAATGTTGTAATGGGAAGTTGATCTCAAGTAAAAATAAAAGTGCTGTGTTTTAAGAGGGCGCAGATGCAGAATCACACATGGAAATCTAAACGTAACCCTATGTACGTAGACTAAGAGGGATTTTCATGACTTGAGTCTCATCCATTAAATTGTACCCCTCTGTCTTTCGTCTCGGCACTCAACCAAACCCTCCACCCCTACACAGCTAAGGCGCATCTAAATGGTAATAAAGCGGCATCTCAATACAATATGTCCTCCTCCTTCATAGCATATTGTTGATTACATATTTTTTTGTTTTTTCTCCTATGGTTTCTGCTTGGGGCCCTCCAAAGCCCTGGCCAGCAGCTTTGTCAGGATGCTAAATGGAGGGCCGTGAGTTTAAAAACTTAAAGAGGCAGTGAAATATTAGCCAATGTGGGTGAGGAATGAGTGGCTGAGAAGCGCGGCGTGTCAGTGTTTAATGGTCGGACTCGGATGCATATAAGTTAGTCCAAGCATGAAGGGCAGTGGGACGCTCGCGTGGAAACGATGTCCCCTCCCCTCCTTCCCATCCCTCCTCCCATCCACAGACGCGTTCACACACATACACACTCGTACTGTCATACCCCACCCACACAGCTTTTTAAGCAAGGAGCCCCATCAGAAACATGTCATTTCTCTCATTCACTCCGACAGCCCTTGAGACACAATGCAGACTTACCTCTGTGTTGTACACCCCATATATCAGGAAGATGAACAGGCCCTGCAAACACAGACAAAGAAAGAGCGAGAGAAAGAAAGAGAGAGAAAGAGAGAGAGGAGGACAAAGTTGTTACAGTTGTTCTCTCTCTTATCCTCTAGTAAACCACAAAAGATAAAAAGTAATGAGTGGAGGCAACATGTTCGATTAAGCTTGATTTCTACTCTTTTCTGGCAACACGGAGCTGAAGTAGACTGCCAAGTAATGAGACAAGAAGAAAGGCTTGAAAGAGTCCAAATTGGGCCACCTCCACAATGTTCAGCTAGTGTTGGTTCCGTCTACATGTCTACTCAATTCAGCCCTCAAGCCATCAAAGGCTCAACCCAAGGTTCCACATAGCTATATTGAAATATAAAAGTATACAGTGCCTGTTTTCACTCAAGCACACAAATAGATGATTGCTCATCAACCAACACAGATAATAAGATTGTCAAGCTCACACATACCCACACAAAGTAAATGCATTGGAAACAGATGATACCGATACCAAATAGCAACAAATTATAAGGAAACAAAGACAGTATGAACAGAAAAACCTATTAAAAGCGCACACACACACACACAGACACAGGTACATAAAGAGAGCAACTCAAGCCAGACGAGACTATCAAGAAAACCCATTGGAGGAAAGCAGAGAAGGAGAGAGACAGAGGGAGCATAATGAAAAATGACACATAAAGAAGATATTTCATTTTTCACAAAACTCCACGGCTTGTACCCATGGTCAAAGAATGCATGCCCTTGGATGCATAAAGGCCGCACTTTTGGTCACAGAAAACAGCTATTTTTCATTCCAATCTATTGAATGTACAAGCTGTGCATTCACCTTCAAGCCATAATGTAATACTGTTGCCTCAATGGAAACAGTGAAAACAACATTCTCAGAGCAACGATTGAACCGTGTCACAAAGATGTACCGAGAAAATAAAAGGCAGTTAAAAACCTATAAATTTCAAGGCTGACGGATACAGCAGATTCTTTGACTAGCCAACAATGCCTCCACAGGTCTAACACAAAAAAAACACTTTTAAAAGTACATCTCTCCCCTTTCACCGCTCAGAGTGTGTCTGTGTTGCCTTCATCTTTTGAACGAAGGTAAGGACACATCCTGAGGACAGGCAGACACAACGCTGGTCAACGCATCAATCAAGTCGAGTTTGGAGTATCCAATTTTTGCCAGAGGAGATCTCGATTGCATCACCATTGACAAGCATTATTTGGAGCCCATTCAGAGTGACAGGCCGACGATAGCAACAGTGACGACCTATAGCCCAAGCTACTGCCCCATTCACCTCCTACCGGCTGCTCTCCTGTCCTCCAGGGACTGAATTGCCCTGTCTGTCGGGCTGTCAGGTGACATTTTGGGAATCATCCTCTTTAAACTGACAATTCTGCTGGTCTCTGAACATGCTGAAGACAACAGGCATAACAAGGGATCTCACCCTGAGACCTGTGACCATTATCTTTATACCTCTTACAGTACAAATTGAGAATCATTTAGGGCCACAGCACTATGGTGAGGGAGGTTTCACACACACTCACACAGCTATTTGGGGGTGAGTATCTTGACATTGTCCTTGACGGGACCCTTGATATAGACAGGAGGGGCAAGGGATCAATCCTCACGACATTCTGATTGGTCTATTCTCCCTCCTATACCACATGGACCCATGAAAAACAAATAAACAATAACAAAAGACCAATCACCATCACAATTGTTTCAATTTCCAACTGTTGACTTAATCCTCAACTGTAACAATGTGATGTCATTGATGAGTCAGACTGTTATATTTATTTTTTAAATACATTTGAAAGTACTTCATTTGAGAATGAAGCAAATAAATATGCATTACAGACGAGGTCTAACAAAGGCATTAGTAGAAATGCATTTCTACTAATGGAGGGTGAATGTATTTCCTTTAAATAAATGTATTTCTGTTTTAATAAACAGGTTTAAATAATGGTGTCAGACCACTGCAGGGTAAAATATGAGTTTTATTGTTGTTTTTATTTATGAAAAACAATCAAAATCTTGTATATTCATTGATAAAATTAGACTAAAACACGTAAATATTGTATAGAGTTTATCATAACATACTGTTGTTGTCGAATACACTTTTCTCACACACAAAAACACGCACTCACACACATTCCCACACACTTTAGCACACAAACACCCACGTACAATAATAGACAGTGGGTGGTTAATTTGCAACACATACTCTATTGTATTGCATTAGAATTGCAATTTCCAACTTATTGTTGCAATTTGATTATCATGTTTTTGATCATTCCTCTTATTTGTAATAATATGTTGTTGTGTAGTGAACAAAGTGGGGAGAACATACTGTGCACATTAGGAAAAATGATCTATTAAAATGTAATTGAGTTAAAAATAAGTGGCAGCACAACAATAATGATGGATTGTTTAAAATGTTAATTCATTAATATTCCCACTAAAAACAAACAGAGACAAAAATGGGGCACATTATTTAAATGCATGTGTGCTTTTCTAAACTCAGTCCTGTTTCTTTTGAACTCGGCAGCAAATGCTACAAATTTATGCAAAGAAAGAATGCAATTGCTTTCAAAGTATTGCCATACTGTACATCAAACAGGGAAGCATAAATTAATTAGCATCGAGCTAATTAGGGGAAACAATTGTATGTTTAAAAAGTTAAACGCCAACAAACACTGTGTTTGCCCTGAAAACATTATTACCCCAGAGTTTGTATTATTATGCTGCAGCGCGGAGAAACCAAATAGCATTTGGTCTAAAGGAAAAGCAGACAGAAAAAATCATAGAGATCAATTTACCTAAAATAATTGTAAGTTAATTCACTTAATGTGGTTTATACTGTTTACTCCCGGCTGTTGTGTAATATTAACAACATTATTTTAGAAGTTTAACAAGTTCTTCCTCTGGTGTCTTTGTACCTCACTGTTTCTAAAAGTGTCGGCAGAGTGCAATTAAATGTTCGAGGTGATACACCAAACACTTCCTTTGTGCCATTAAAAGCCTTATCTCAGTGTTTGTGTAAATGTTTCTACTTAAGAGCCTAAATGTGTGTGCACATGAATAAAAGGCTTACTTTACTGTCAAAATATAGAGATATAAGGCAGATAATGAGTTTATTATATCCTGTCTAAAGAGATTGACATCTCCTGTATTATTAGGTAAAATGCAGTTTGAATTGCAATTAAAAGTTAAGTGAACCAGTTGCCAGATGGTAGAACAATATTGAAAGCCTTTCACACATTTACTCATTTAATTTAATTAGTAGACAAGTAATTAGCCATTGGAGTTGTTAGCTTGAAGATACTTTCCACAAGCATCATATAATGGGCATCATATGACATCTTATTATTATAATTGATTACATGTTACACCCATATTTTTCAAGCATATATCAAATGAAACTAAATACAGTGTGTTCTCTCGTAAAACATAAACCAGGCATTTTAAACATTTGCCTAAACAAGTAATTAATAAAAAATAGCATGGATGAATATGATCCACATTCACCAAGCCATAATTTCTTCCATCACCAACATTGTGTACACAAATTCCTTTATCAATCAATTTCTAGTGTGGTTTCAAAAACACTGCTATAATGAAGGTTTTGCGTACATCAATGTAATGCTATAATGGAAAACTATAGGTTACTTACGTAACCCCAGTTCTCAGAGTAACATGAAGTGAGATGTTCTCCACTATGGGATGCGCCTCAACGCGTATGCAAACAGAAGCATCAATCTCATTACGCCAATCCTGATTGGCTGGTGATCTTGACGTCCTTACGTCAGGGAATCCACCCACCCTTTAAGATAGCTTGCGCTACGTCGCAGCGTCATTCAAAATAGCACCCTCTTCTCGCTTCGCCTTAGCAAGGAGGGCCGTCTGGTGAGACATCTCACTTCATGTTACTCTGAGAACTGGGGTTACGTAAGTAACCTATAGTTCTCATTCATAACACTCCGTTCGATGTCTCACTATGGGGATATTTGAAACTCCCGTATTGCTAGACATGCTTATCTCGAAAATCACCAAAACCAGCAGAACTTAACAGGTAGAACCCTGTCTCAACACGGGGCCCAGCACTGCGCGGGCCACACTTGGAGCAGAGACATCTAGCCTGTAAAGCGGACAAAAGTGAGCGGTTGAGGACCAGCTCGCTGCTTGCACAAATGTCTTGGATGGAAACACCCTTGAACAAAAGTCCAGGATGTAGCCCAGTCCACAAGTAGAATGAGCACGCAGGCCCGTTGGTGCCTGCAAACCCCTGACACGTATAAGCCAGAGCAATCGCTTCCACAATCCAGTGGGGAGAGCCGTTGCCTGGTAACGGGCTTGCCCTTATGAAGGGTTAGCCCAGGATACAAAGAGTTGGTCATTGCATCGAAACTCTTTTGACCTGTCCATATAGATGCGTAAAGCACGAACTGGACACAGCAAATTCGGCCGCTGTTCCTCAGAGGAACACAGTGGCAGAGGAAATGCCTCAATGTTAATGGGGGTACATGAGCCAACCACCTTAGGTACAAAGGCAGGGTTGGGCTTCAGCAACACTCTCGTTTGCCCCGGGACAAACTGAGTGCATGAAGGATGTACGCATGAATGTCACTGACTCGCTTGGCAGATGCCAGAGCCAGTAACAACACTGTCTTCAGTGTCAGGTGTTTCATGTCAGCTTCTTCCAGGGGTTCAAATGGAGGTCGAGTGAGCCCATCTAAAACCACTGCCAAGTCCCATAAGGGCACCAGTGACCTGGAAACAGGGAGGAGCCTGCGAGCCCCTTTCATAAAACGGCAGACCAAGGGATGTTGGCTAGCCGTCTTTCCCTCAAAGCCCACATGGCATGCAGCAATAGCAGCCAGGTACACTTTGATCGTAGACAAAGCTCTGTGTTTATCAATCAGGTCCTGTAGAAATGATAAAATCACCCCGACAGGACATTGAAAAGAGATGTCGTTTTTTAAGGCACCACTCCTCAAACACCCTC